ATAAAAAAAAAACACCACAAATATTTAAAATTTAACCAGATCCAACATTTAGAGTTTAAAAATCTCAAAATAGATAAGAGGGTTATCATTTATATTTTATAACAAAAGCTTAAATTTAAAATTTGATTATTGGATGTCTGTAAAAATTATTTTAAAGTATTAAGAAAGCATTACATTTCATATATAAATTTTTAAAATCTTAATTTATATAAGGAACATCATAACAATAAAGTGAAGGAATTTATTAATTTATATATGTATATAAAATTTTAAAACCTAGATCCATTCCTAAAACTTTGATTCTCTAACTGAACAATTTGTGACTACAATAATTATATTTAGAATCTTGTAAACTGGGAATAAACTTTTCAGAGGATTGGAATTTGAACTAGATTTTATCACTGCCAGGAACACAGTAATCTATGAGAATTACAAACCATACCTATAGAAGCAAAGAACTAAATGAAGCTATGCATCTAAGAGCAGGAGCAACCCTTTATAAAAATGGCATTCCAAAATTTGTTTCTTGCAGTACCAATTTGCAAAAGCTAATAAAAATTTAAATTGATATGAATTATTCATTTATAAAAGAAAATTCAAAAAATTGGAATAGTATCCTAAAACTCTTCATAAAAAGTGACTAAAACTATTTATATGTTAAATGTATTACGGATCTGAGATTATTTGCAGATACACATTTCACGCACGACATTGACGACAAACGGTACACCATAACAAATTAAACCGTTTACTAATATATATATAAATAATACACAAAGTATTAGGTTCCTCCTAGTTAATAATTAAGAAAAAAAACCTTTCAAAAACAAGCCCAAGTTTTTTATTAACCAGTCAAAACAGAAGGGATACAAAGAAAACTTCGATCCGAAAGGGCTTACGAAATAACTAACCGAAAGGAACTACGGATCCTTTTTAGCTCTACCACTCCATCAAAATTCAGAGCAAGGATTGAATCTGGCTGAAATTTGAAAAAATAAACTTTAATTACATAAAAAAAAATTCTTATTCTGTATAATTTTCTAAAATTTTATCAGATAAATTTCAATAGTATAAAAATACTTTGCCATCATATTTAACAATCACTACGATATTAAATAATAAACTAATTCTTTATTTGCATTCATTGTATTGTATAGAAATATATAAATAAATACTACATATACATTAAGTATATATAGATATAAGTAGAGAGATTTTTTTTTTCTAATCATCAAAAAGTATTCATAAATATTGAAAGATTGCTATTTAGATATTCGAATAAAGAATAAGGTAAGAATTATTCATTTATAATACTTTAAACAAGATATATATTATGTCAACTTGTAGCTAGAGGTCGTGTGAAATGCTTGCCTTTTGATTTTCTTATTTTCCAAAGATTTGATGAAATCTTTCTGAGAATTATCTTCATTCGCCAATTCCGGAACATTTCTTTGTATTTTCTGATCGAGTTTCTTAATTTTAAAACTAAAATTCGACTGTGGAGAAGAACTATTATTTTCCATTTTTGATCGAAAAGACCGTACAAACGCCATCACTCGGACTGTATACAATTCGAATACAGTTGTCGGATTCGTCCGTAACGTTAAAGTAAATATCGCCCAAATATTACCTATAAAATAATTTTTAAGTTTAAAATTTAAGAAAAATTTTACAATTATTATTACCTATATATATAAATATTGTATATAATATATAATTGAATTATTTTAATTAACTTTTTGAATATATATATACATATTTTTAACTCTTTCCGCCCTGTGGGCACTATAACAGGGCATCTTTTAGTAAGTCCATTATGGGTTCGACCAGGCCCACAATAGGGCCCGACATATCCGGACAGACCACTCCCCAAAATTTTCTGGACATTTTTCGACCCGTCTGCATTCGATCTCGAGTCCTACAGAGCGGGAGGCTGCCATCTTCATCGCTCGGCCAACCGGCACGCTTATCAGTAGAATATCAGTGTCGAATTTATAAATCGGCTTACTAGGTCCTGATCCAAGGCTCTAAAGTTTTTAGGAGACGTAGAATTTTTAAGGCTACAAACTAGTGTTGAACTTAATTACGTCAGTTATTTTATTTTATTTTTCGAGCTTATATTTTGTATTGAAGCTTAATAAACGTCTCCCTTAGATCAAAAGTTAGCGAGTGCTTGAGTGACATTTTGGCTTGTTCATAACTTAAAGTGACCACACGTCCCGATTTTGGCGGGACAGTCCCGCTTTTTGGTGGACTGTCCCGCGTCCCGCCGATTTTTAAAAATGTCCCGCTTTTTAGAAAATATCTGCATTTCTTATTTTAAATGTACTGTAAAAATATACTACCTATTATTTATTAAGTATTATGGTGAATATAAAGAAATAAAAAATACATAAAAAAAACACATAAAATGCATGCAGAGTAAACTAAATTAGGCAATGTACCGAGTTAGATTTACTCGGTAGTGTTCGATCATTGTCGTTACGTCTCGGCTTAATTCAGATAAGTGTAGACAGTGTGGACTGCCGTTAGATAGTGCGGTTTGTTGTTTTCAATTTGACGTTCGGTTTGACTCATTATTTGATTGACGAAGGTAGAGCAATAGTCGCCACAACGTAACGGTTAATAAGGTAAAATTTAATACTCTTTTATAACCTTTGTAGTAAATTTTTTATTTATTTCTAGTATTTATCCACAGAATAAAAGATGAGTAAAAAAAGAGAATGCAAATTTAACGAAGAGCTAAGCAGAGAATTTCCATTTATTAAAAAAACCAAAATAGACTATATGGTACGGTGTGATAAATGCAATGCTGAATTTTCGGTCTCACATGGTGGAAAAAACGATATTACTAAACATCTAGCGACAAAGAGGCACAAAAGATTTTTGAATAATGCCGCTTCCTCGTCTAAAATGGAACAGTTTTTTCGCAGTGCTAGCTTTGGCAACACGGAAAAACAGCTAGCATTAGCGGAAGGGCTATTTGCTTTCCACACCATAAACCACAATCAAAGTTTCAGATGAATGGATTGCACGTCGCAAATGATCAAAACATTATACGACAAAAAATTTGCATGTGCAAGGACAAAAACCGAAGCAATTATTTGTAATGTTTTTTCACCATATTCGTTTTCACAATTGCAGAAA